AAAAACAAATACCCACTGCCTCTTCTCGCCTCTGCTTTTGAACCTGTACAGGGAGCAACAGTGTTTTCTAAGTTGGATTTAAGAAACGCTTATCATCTCCTTAGGATCCGTGAGGGCGATGAATGGAAAACTGCCTTCAAAACACCCTTGGGCCAATTCGAATACCTTGTAATGCCCTCTGGTCTAACTAACGCCCCAGCCTGCTTCCAGGCCCTAGTAAATGATGTTCTCAGAGACTTTCTCAACGTGTTTGTTTTCGTGTACATTGATGACATTCTCATTTACTCCAAGGACCTCGATGAACACAAGAAACATGTCCGTCTTGTCTTACAGAGACTACTGGAGAATAAGCTGTTCGTGAAAGCCGAGAAGTGCGAATTTCATCAATCTTCAGTCACCTTTTTGGGGTTTGTGCTCGAGGGCGGCCAGGTAAAACCTTCAGAGGACAAGATCAAAGCAGTCTTAGACTGGCCAGTTCCAGAGAACCACAAACAATTACAGAGGTTTCTAGGGTTCGCTAACTTCTATCGTTGGTTTATTAGAAACTACAGCCAGACCGCCCTTCCATTAACCTCCCTGACTTCTGTTAAACGCACTTTTCAGTGGACTCCCGAGGCTCAAGCAGCATTTGAGAAACTAAAATCCTTGTTTTCCAGAGCTCCTGTCCTCATGCAACCTGATCCTGCTAAACAGTTTATCCTAGAGGTGGACGCTTCAGATTCTGGTGTTGGAGCTGTCCTGTCCCAGAGGCTCGATTCAGACCAAAAGATACACCCTTGTGCTTTCTTCTCCCGTAGACTTTCTTCCGCTGAACAAAATTATGATGTGGGTGACCGAGAGCTCCTGGCTATCAAACTGGCGTTGGAAGAATGGAGGCACTGGCTGGAGGGAGCTGAGCACCCGGTTCTTGTATGGACAGACCACAAGAACCTGGCTTACATCCAGTCCACCAAACAGGCTAATCCTCGCCAATCCAGGTGGTCAATCTTCTTTTCTCGGTTCAACCTAATTATCTCCTATAGACCCGGATCCAAGAACGTGAAGCCCGATTCTCTCTCTCGTCTCTACTCCGTCGATCATCCCGAGACACCTGAACCTGTCCTTCCAGCTTCATGTACAGTGGGAGTGGTCAACTGGGAGATAACTGACCTCATCAACTCAGCCCTGGCCACTGAACCCGATCCAGGTAACGGTCGATCTAACCGCACATACACTATATTGCCAAAAGTATTTGCTCACCTGCCTTGACTCACATATGAGCTTAAGTGACATCCCGTTCCTAATCCATAGGGTTCAATATGACGTCGGTCCACCCTTTGCAGCTAGAACAGCTTCAACTCTTCTGGGAAGGCTGTCCACAAGGTTTAGGAGTGTGTTTATGGGAATTTTTGACCATTCTTCCAGAAGCGCATTTGTGAGGTCGCACACTGATGTTGGACAAGAAGGCCTGGCTCTCAGTCTCCGCTCTAATTCATCCCAAAGGTGTTCTATCGGGTTGAGGTCAGGACTCTGTGCAGGCCAGTCAAGTTCATCCACACCAGACTCTGTCATCCATGTCTTTATGGACCTTGCTTTGTGCACTGGTGCACAGTCATGTTGGAAGAGGAAGGGGCCAGCTCCAAACTGTTCCCACAAAGTTGGGAGCATGGAATTGTCCAAAATGTCTTGGTATGCTGAAGCATTCAGAGTTCCTTTCACTGGAACTAAGGGGCCAAGCCCAGCTCCTGAAAAACAACCTCACACCATAATCCCCCCTCCACCAAACTTTACACTTGGCACAATGCAGTCAGACAAGTACCGTTCTCCTGGCAACCGCCAAACCCAGACCCGTCCATCAGATTGCCAGATGGAGAAGCGCGATTCGTCACTCCAGAGAACGCGTCTCCACTGCTCTAGAGTCCAGTGGCGGCGTGCTTTACACCACCGCATCCGACGCTTTGCATTGCACTTGGTGATGTATGGCTTGGATGCAGCTGCTCGACCATGGAAACCCATTCCATGAAGCTCTCTGCGCACTGTTCTTGAGCTAATCTGAAGGCCACATGAAGTTTGGAGGTCTGTAGTGATTGACTCTGCAGAAAGTTGGCGACCTCTTCGCACTATGCACGTCAGCATCCGCTGACCCCGCTCCGTCAGTTTACGTGGCCTACCTCTTCGTGGCTGAGTTGCTGTCGTTCCCAAACACTTCCATTTTCTTATAATACAGCTGACAGTTGACTGTGGAATATTTAGGAGCGAGGAAATTTCACGACTGGATTTGTTGCACAGGTGGCATCCTATCACAGTTCCACGCTGGAATTCACTGAGCTCCTGAGAGCGACCCATTCTTTCACAAATGTTTGTAAAAACAGTCTGCATGCCTAGGTGCTTGAATTTATACACCTGTGGCCATGGAAGTGATTGGAACACCTGATTCCAATAATTTGGATGGGTGAGCAAATACTTTTGGCAATATAGTGTATGTTACATCTTCTGTCAGGTCCCGTCTTATCCAGTGGATGCATGCCGCCAAATTCTCTGCTCATCCTGGAGTCAGTAGAACAGTAGCTCTCATCTCCAGACGCTTCTGGTGGCCCTCTCTCCACAAGGACGTAAAGGAGTATGTGTTGGCTTGCCCCACATGTGCCCGTAACAAAGCCTCACACCAACCACCTTCTGGCCTGCTTCAACCACTTCCTGTTCCCTCGCGTCCCTGGTCCCATATCGCCATTGATTTTGTCACCGGTCTCCCTGTCTCTCGAGGTATGTCCACTATACTCACCATTGTTGACCGCTTCTCGAAGTCCTGCCACCTTGTTCCCCTCAGAAAGCTTCCCACGGCCTTCCAGACAGCTCAGCTCCTCATTAAACATGTTTTCCGGCTTCACGGCATCCCCCAAGAGATCCTCTCGGACAGAGGTCCTCAATTCATCTCCCAGGTATGGAAGGCATTCTGCTCTGCGCTCGGCTGCAAACCCTCTCTCACCTCAGGTTACCACCCCCAATCGAATGGTCAGACCGAGCGCATGAACCAACAGTTGGAATCCACCCTTCGCTGCCTTCATGTACGCTGCGCTAAAGCCTAGATCCTCTGAGTATCTCCATGACTTTGAATCCAGTCTGGATTCTAACTATTATCTCTGTCTTCCAGGAAACCTGTGCCTCCTCTGAGAAAGCTCTGGAAGAGCTAACCTGCCGAGCCGACCCTCTGAGCCAAACCCTGAAGATCCCTCTGAGCAACCTCAAGCAGCTCAGGACTGAGCTGGGACTTCCAAGCCAAGGTCTGTTCTAACTAGACGTGAGACGCTGAAGCAGCTAACGGACTCTGCTGATGAACCCTTCTCCAGAACCAACAGTGACTCTCCCAAAGTTAACCTCAAGAACCCTCAAGGTACAAACAGTGAACTTCTGGAAGTAAAACCCTGCCAGCAAACCGCTAACTGTGCTGTCTCTCACGCAGACTCCGGTGAACCAGTATCCAGGCCCCGAACCAGAATCAGCACATTCTGTGTGTTTGTGCTTTAATAAACTGTTGAACTCTTCATCCTTGTGTCCGTCAGTGGTGTTCTGCATAACTGGGTCACCTTCAGTGAACCCATCATGACACCAACAGTGGGGATCCTGCAGGAGGTCAATCAAAATGACTCCAAGAGACGTCAAGGAATCATTCAGAAGGTCAGATAACAGCCAGCAAACATTAAACAACAAACATTTCAGTCTCTGATGGAATCATTAACTCAGGTAAAATTTTGGTTCACGACTCAATTAACAGAAAAAGAGAATGAGCAAAATGGCTTCCAGGACTGACACAGGATTTTAGTTAGAAAAAAAGGAAAACCTGCTGGTTGGGGGATATTTTAGGGGGGCTTTATATCCTGAAAACCTGGAGGACTTGGAATAATTGATGGAGTTATGATTTTATTTCTTGCTCTCTAGAGGAAAATCCTGCTTAATTTTAGCAATCAATACAGGACCTTAAGCCTTATCACACTTTAGAAAGCAACTAAATGAGACGCTCTTTGATTTGACCCAGTTTTAAGCTCAATACTGAAGTATGAGCTTAAACTAAAGATAGACCGAAACCTTGGCTGTTTATAAGTGCTCTTTAATCAGTATTCATTCATCATGCATTGCTTCTCCCTCCATCTATTCATAGTTACATTGCTTTTGATTTGTTTATAAATGTTTCTTTTCTTTTTCTCGTTAAAAGGGAGACTTTAGTAACAATTACAATAATTTTGTTGTTTTTAATTATGTAAATGGAGAAGGTAAAATCAATACCGGTCCAAAAAAATGGCAGCATATAATCCGTACGGCAAAAGCCTTAAAATAACAGTATAGGTAGAAAAGTTTATTCTAAATAACCTGTAAAACCTCAATAAAATAAAACCTTTATGCAAAGCAGAGAGACCCAAAATTCCTCAGTGGTGATATTAAAATCTCATTAGCAGTTATTGCTATGACTTGATATCAGCTGTTGCTGCTAAGGGTGTTATGAATAGCTATCAGCTTTCGCAGGTTATTACTTTTCCCCACAGGGCTTGTTAAGTTTGAAAAGCTTTCTCCCTTAATGAATAAAATCAACATTTGAAAACTGCTTTTTGTATTTGCCCTGATTATCTTTGACATTTACGATCTTAAAAAGTGAGATATGACAAAAGGCAAAACATTCTGCTGAGTTAAAATTCATCCCCTTTAAGACAACAGTCATCCTATTGGCTTTAAACTTAACAGAACAAACTACAGGATCATTTAGACATACAGATGATGTTTTTTTTACCCTACGTGTAGTTTAAGGCCAGCTATAAGCAAAGGTGGTTTTGCAGACATAGTGGAGATGAGCAGGGGATGCCGAACATCATCACCAAACTAATCAGCAAATCATCTCATTACCTATATATTAATTACAAATTCACTTCATATCATATATTTAGACCAAAAAAACTTGGATAATGTGCGATTTCAGCTACAGGAGTAGTCTAAACCCCCTGCCACCACTTCCCTGATAATAGATTTCCTACCACTGTGTAGATGGCTGAATAAAAGCTGAGGGCTGCATCTTTGGAGGGGAAGGATTTGCGGGCGGACACCACCAGGTACGGGTTTCCTGTGCAGGCTCGGTTCTCTGTGATGTACTGCAGAGGAGACTGGCAGCCTAGAGCTGTGTAGTTTGGTCTGCAGGCGGACAGGAAGTGAGGCGTCTGGTTGCCTGTCACCACTTGACCGGCATTGGCAAAGATGGTTGTAGCAAAGAGACCAAAGGAGTAGACCCCTGGGGAATAAAGAGAGGAAATTAGGGAAAAAATGCTGCTTTTGTCTACTTACAGTGCAACGTAAAAAATAATCATACTCCTTAAAGTGTGAGATAGTTGGCTCATTTTTCATTTGTTTTTCCTTTGCCTTCTTGAGATAATGACATAACTATCTCGTTACCAAGGTTAAACCATTAATTGTTTTCTCGAGATAAAAGATAATTATCTTGTTATCACGAGAAAGCAGTTACTGATTTCTTGAAATAAAGAGATGATTAACCTGTATTAGTAATGAATGAGGCTGGCCAACAGCCCTGGATTCCCAGTCCATCCATGCCTGCAGTACCTGTAGTTGTGCAGTGGTGGTACCGCGTCTGCGCAAAAATTTTTCACTTTTCACTTATTGTCAGGTGGTGGTGGATGATTGGAATACAGTAGAACCAAATCTGACGGAGACATAGGTCTAATTGCTTATGAATCAGAAGTGGAAGCAACAACATCGTATTGTTACCTAAAAGCTCAACACGGGATCATTTACAGAATTACACATAGGCTGCCAAGACTTATAAATCCTCTGCCGCCGTGTGGTATTTACGGAAGCAATCAGTTTTAACACACCAATCGTCTTGTTGTGACGGGAAAACGGCTTTCTAATGAGAAAATTATTATCACGAGGAAACGGCTTTCGTTATCTTTATATAACGAGAAAAAGTATCGGATGGAAAAGACCTATGATATAAACTAACACAATATTAATCAGAAAATGGTGGTGTTCATTCCCCTCCCTTTGAGTCAGTACTGTAATGAATCCCATTTTGGATTGTTCTTATTCCAGAAGGTGTTAAGGACATTCTGTAAAAGTTTAAAAAACAATCCACTGGACTTGGTTTCCAAGGTTTAAAGAAGTTTCGCTTCTCCTCCAGGAAGCTTTCTCAATTTTTGGATTGAGAAAGCTTCCTGGAGGGGAAGCGAAACGTCTTCAAACCTTGGAAACCAAGTCCAGGGGATTGTTTTTTTTTTTTTACTTTTACGGAATGTCTATGACCTGGATGACTGTGAATCTTCATCATTGTGTTAAGAACAGTTTCTAAGTCTCCCCTTAGTTGCTCGACTGGATTTTAACATTCCGACGCATCAGTCTACATAGACCTAAAACATTCCACTGTAGCACTGGCTGTGAGATAAAGGCCCTACGCTGTGGAAGGTGGGTCTATGATCCACACTCAAGGTCTTTCACATCCTTCCATGAATGAATTTCATCCACTTCCCCATCAACTCTAACCCCCCTCCCCTCCTTGCTGAATAAAAGCATCCCCACAGTAAGATGCAGCCACCACCGTGTTTTGCATACCAGTCAAATATTGTCAAATAACCAGGGTTTTTTTCCCCACATATTTGCTGTAATTCAGCTTATTCTTGTTGCCTTTTTCCACGAAGATTTAAAAAGTCAACAAGTCTTAGAAAACATGTTAACAGAGCTGTTGATCTCTCCACATACATGTGAAATGTCACTCTCAGTTTAGGTAGAAGCCATTGTCGTGTTAAAATTTCATCTGTGCCATAATTACTCTCTGTTTTGAGAGAAGGGATCTGATAGTGCTGAGTGAGATATTCAAAGAATCAGATTTAGCTTCATCTATTTTTTTTAGCATTGCTGGACTGGTTAGCGGTTTGTTTCACATAATTTATGAAATCTTAAAAACCAAATTAAACTTTTGAACCAGGAATGGAAAACATCCTTTCAATATTTAGTATCTACTAAATTATCACACTGGTACCTTCATGAACATCAAGAAAATCCTGTTTCGGTCCAACAGACCAGTTATGACCTAGACTAGAGCGCACTGATCTTTCAGTCCACAGAAAAAAAGTTTTTTTTTGCTCTTTCAGTAGACGTTTATTTGAACAAGTTCTATGTTAGGCTTTGTCACTTTTTCAGTAACCATTTACATTAACTAACTTATAGATATGTGCCTTCTTAAATTGAGTTTATCAGAATTTGATTCAAAATTATTTCTAACTATTCAAATTGTTTGATTTTGATTGAAATTAGGATAATACAACAATTTCAAAAGAATATAAAGTTTAAAAAAAGCAGTTATTCAATCAGTTTTAATTAGAAATGTATCACCTTCTAATCTGTTACAGCCAGCCAACTCATCTTATAATTGAATTATTCATGTTTGCTCTGGTGCTTGTGAACTACTCCTCTGTTTGGTGATGGGCTCCAAGTCTGTGATGTAAAATTTACATTAGGATTCCTGCTGGACGACTTCAGCGTGATCATATTAGTTCCAGTCAGGCAAGACATTTTGATTAAATTAAATACCTAAAAGATCTAAAGCCAGATCTACCAAATAAACTAATGGTTTGGGACACAACTGTTTATGAAGAAGTCTTTCATATTTAACCCCAGTAAAAAACAGAATAGTAAACGTAGCGTGTTGTATCTGCGGGACTACGACTGACCTAGAAAACGTACGATCCTCCGAAGGAGAGGGTTGAAATAACAGCAGTCAGCGGTCACTATGGTCTTCTCCTGAGATCCCTCCGTCTTCACAAAGAAGCCTGTCACTTCCCCGATCAGAATCTGGGACACAACAGGCAAAGCAGAGAGAAACAGTTTTTGTCAAACAAAGCTGAAACAGCATGGCTGAGAGAGCTGAGCGGCATCTATAAATATTCTGCCTGTTAAATATGGTGCACAGCAAAATTATTCATGAGTTTTCTTCCCTCTGATGCGCCGTGATTAAAGGTTTTCCCTTATCATCTGCCTGCGTTTGTGTTCTTTCACCAAATCCCAACATTAACACCTTTGGTTTCACTAATCAGCAGCAGAACCTGCCGCTTGTTGTGCTTTTAATGCAGTTTTCTGAAGCTCTGTTAAAACAAAGGCATCACTTTGTCTATAACCTTGAATATAACATCCTTTGCCTGTATGCATTTAATAAAAAATCCAGAGTGTTTAATCTGTTGGCTCACCAATATAGCCATGCATTTACTAATACACATCTAAAGAAACCATTTGAATATCCCCCCCTCCGCCCTTTGGCAGCCGTTTGAAAAACAGTATGAAAGGTTTCAAGCTAAATCAGCAGGACATGGATTTCTTCTGACAGGGGAATAAATGTACTATACGCCAAACCACACATTTTCAAACTCCATGATGGTCTGCTTATGTGTTTAGTCATGTCAAGGGACGTCTACAAACAGGCGTGGATGGATGTGGGCTACATGGGCTGATGCCAATGGACCGAGGCTCCTTCTCCTCAGTGTGACATACAGACTGATGTTGGCACTGATGTTATGAATTAAAAGCTACCAGAAAAAGGTTCATTCATACTGTATTTGGCATGTTTGCAAGTAATGCATAAGAGAGGCGACCTCAGTGTAGCAAGAAACACTTTGAGATGATAATTATACCTTTTAAGGAAATGAATGCAGTTTAATTTACATCAGTATCTCTGAGTAAGATTCTTCAACTACATCTTCCTTAATGAGGCTGCATCGGGATTTTGATGTAAAATGGAAATCATTACTTTGTCTCTATTAAAAGGAACAAGAACAAAACCAACACAGTCCTCACCATTCATTGCCCGTTTCTTTACAAGATAGCATAACATGATAGGACTGGACAAAACATAACTTAAAATGGCATAAGGTAAGATATCCTGGCAGAATATAACATACAGGAATGTTGTTGCAGCAGCAAAACTTACTAAACAAATAAGAGACACCCAAACTTATGTTTTAGTGGGTGTCTGTTTGAAGAAGTTTACAGTTGTTTCTGCAACATTATCTACAGAAACCGAGAGCAGTCGTATCCCTCAGATCCTTTTTTTATGGGGATTTTCTCGAGAAAACTAAAGATAACGAAAACCATTTTTTTGAGATAATGAGATCATTTGTTTGTGATAAAACTGATTATATCCTTCAATAGCACAACAGCAGGAGAGGATTTATAAGTCATGACTTATGTGTAATTCTGTAAATAATCCTATGATCAACTTTTAAGTAACGAGACGATGTTGTTGGTTTGATGATTTGCTTCCACTTCTGATTCATAAGCAATTAGACCTATTCCTCCTTAGCGCCAATGTTCTGTCATCGGGTGTTATCCTAACCGGAGTAACAGGTATAAGATAAATTACCTACAAAATGAGTCCAGATTAAAGATTTTCATTAAAAAACTGTCAGATTTGTTTCTACTGCATTCCATGCAATCCAATCATCTACTACGACCTGACTATGAGTGAAAAGGAAACTATAAAACGTATTATTTGCGTACTCCTTGGACCGCAAACTGCACAACTACGGACGTGGATGGACTGGGAATCCAGGGGTGTTGGCAAGCCTCTTTTATTATTCATACAGGTTAATAATCTCGTTATCTTAAGAAATCAATATCAATTAATGGTTTTAACATGAAACGAGACAGCTATTCTCTCTATCATTATCTGGAGAGAGCAAAGGGAAAAAAAATGTTGAGTACGACAGCTCTCGGCGTCCGTGATTATCATACTCCCATCATTTTACGTTTCTTGCTCCCCAATAGGACAGCATTTAAAGGTATAGTGGAGGATGTTCTTTTACTGGGTGGATCATCAAAATAAGTGGTCCTCCTAATCGTCAATCATTCCGGTGATATATTTACGTACGGCCGTCCTACGTGCTCATCCTGATTTTCATTTATCGGTGGTGAGTCTGACATGGTGAAAAAATTGCAAATCTTCTTTTAAAAAATATGGTGGTATCAATTGCAAACAGCAACTATTAAACAGAGCGTGCACGAGGAAAAATGGGCTCGTGCACGCTCTTGACGCGTTTAATAGACGTTTCCTCACGGGAGCAGGTACAGGGTTGTGCGTGTGCATTTATTATTGTTTTTAAGAGGAGAGGGCGGGTCTTTTCAAAAATTCACGAAAATCGTTTACTATATCTTTATTCCTCTTTGTATTTTAGAATGTTTCACGGATATTTAGCCCATTTTTGATGTAATTTAATTTATCCTTCTTTCAGTATAACTCTTTAAATTGTCCTAAGTCCTTTGCCCTCTTTAACTCTCGGCAGATTTTTTTTTTTTTAAAGAGTTCAGGTCTTTGGACTAAGATGGCTCTGAAAGGTTTAGTATGAAAACGATACCTTGGCTGATTTGGCTAAATCTTTTTTCCATCATTCTTCAAAATGATTCAATGAATATCTTTAGTTTAATTATATAATTTACCGGACATTTTTCAGATCTTGTTTATATTTTTGGAGGAGGAAACGGCCCACAGCATCACCAATCTACCACTATAGTCAACAACTGGCATAAAAAGCTAGTCTCATCTGATCTCATGGTTAAAGTTCCAAAAGAGTTAACTAATCTTTAGATTTCTGATGGCAGGACAGACGGTTCAATCTCATGTCCATATCTGCTGTTTTCCAGTGGTGAGCTTACTCTAGTGTTTTTGTTTCTTCTCTCTGGTCATCCATATAATAACCTAATTATTTTGATCACTATTGTGTGTTTGATCCCTCCTTATGCTATGATGTCATTTTAAACCTTTTTATTGAGAAGATTTGAACATTTCTTAAATCAGGAACAGAAACCATGACCACATGATGTTATACCACTGGACTGGGTATAATTTATTTCTAGGGGACTTTTTAACAACCTTTTTTGTCCACTTGAATTAAAAGAATAACCCAGATATCAGAAATTTGAATTAGAGTGTCTCTATATATGCTTATAACAGGTTGTTGAAAACGATCTACAGTAATCATTAAAAAACAATTGAATGTTAAGTAAAGGATTAAGATATTTCTGAAGATTAAATCTTTCCTTTTATAGCTCTTTTATTTCACATTTTCTAGGTTTGAAAGTTAAAATTATAACATATCATCACATTTTTTCCAAACTGGTCACTAAATATAGCAGAGTTTAAATATTCCTGAACATTTACTCATGAGATCAAGCCTACTTCAGACTTTGGCTGAGATGATAAAATTATGGCGAACCCCTTTGGGTGTACAGGGCCACTACATCAATGCATGAATTAAAAAATACTATTGAGTTGTCGCCACTTGCTGTGCTGCTTTAGCCTGGAAAAGTTCAATGCACTGTTCACGAAGACAGATCGATGCCAAATGTCTGATGCTGAACTGCAGACAATTGAAGGAACTGAAAAGTATTTTTCCTGATCATCTGTTTTTGAATCCTTTGGGGAAGATGTGTTCCTCCTTTTTAAGAACAAGGTGCGTTTTCAGTGTTAATACTTACACAAAGCTTTAAGATACTGTTTTTTAACTGCAATGCAATGTAAACCTCATGTGTCTGCCTATCTGTCCGCCCCTCCGTTTATCCATCCATCCATGGATGGATGGATGGATGGATGGATGGATGGATGGATATCCACCAATTATTCAATAAATTACAACATTAGGGCAGAATGCAGGGATCATAAGAACTACCGTAGCATACTGCTGTCCAGGTGGTTGCAGACGGTACCTTTAGCACAATCAACACTTAAAAGAGTTACTTTTACAACTACAGGTGCTTGGATCCAGGTACTTAGAGATTCCCTTCCATACAGAAACCCCACATTCATATCTTCAGGTAACACAGAGTACATGTCAGACTTAATAATATTACTTCAGCAATAGTTCAAGATGTTGCTTTATTGTCTGTCTTGTACCATGTTTGGTTGTGCTGTTCTTTTTTTTTTTTTATCTCGTTACAGGTGATGAAGCAGACTGAAAATGTTTTGTCACTATCTCCTTTCTATCACTTCTTTCTTTCATCTATTCTCTTTTTTTTCTTTTTTTCTTTTCTTCCTCTGTTTTCTGCTCTATTTACATTGCAGTGTCCATATAAACTGTAAAACTCCCTGCATAATTATAATAAAGCAATTTATATGCATGAAACAAGTGGAGCAGTATGGCAATTGCCATACTGCTCCACTTGTGAAAGTAAAATCTGTTGGGCTCTTTTTGGCATCAAGACAATTATTCTTATCCACAATGCCAGACAGGACACTGTAATAAAAAAAAGAGTTACTTGAATTAAACACTGGATTCACACAAACTCTTTGGAGAAACTTACTCCTGCATAGTTTAATAAATTTTTGTGTAGGAGAAACATGCAACCTCCATTCGTTAAAGGTCCTGGCAAGATTTTACCCCTGTAGATGGACAGAAGGTAGAAAACCTTAAATTCTACTTGAAAAACTACAAACATATGACTGAGGATAAACAAACAATGCCCTTTTTCTTTTTTTTTCTTTTTTATTTAAAAAAAGATATATAAAAAGCTGAGATAGAACATGTACATTGGTACGTTGGATCACAGATGAAAAGCTAACCGTGATGAGTTCTGAGCAGAAAATGCCCAGTTTGTTGAGGGGAAAGAAGTCAGTGTCACATGGCTTTAATATTATGCCATCCTGCATTCACCTTATTTGTTTTTTACAAGAGGATTTGCAAAGTGGGCGAGTCAGCCTCAAATCTGTGTCCTTGAAGCTGTCAGTGGTATAGAACTGTGCTGTAGGCACTTTGGCAGAACTGTCAACTGCCAGAGATAAAACAGCTGGATCATATGATGTGGTGCAT